TTTTTATTTTAGATTCGGATAAAAGTATATATTATGATGCTTGTCGAATTCGTCTCAGTATCCCCTAAAAAATGGATACAAAAAAAGGTCAACCTATAAAAAACTGAAAACGACCTTGACAACGCTGGAAAGAAGGGGTTGACCAAAAATTTGGCACAATCATCTTGAAGCTCTTCTTAAACCGTGTTATTTTAGCTCAACGAATTTCCAATCGAACAGCTAGCAGCAGAATAAATTAAGCTGATCACGTTCCGTGGTCCACCCTGTATATTTATATTTATATATATATATATGTATATATGTATAGGAGCTGCGCGGACATATGCACGGAGGCTTTAAATCACAGCTTTGTAGTACGATTAGTTATGTATTGTTTATCCGTTCTTTTTCTCTGTCCGTCTCGTAGAACTGCACAATGACTAGCTAGCACGAAGGGCATCATGTTCTTGTTCTCTCATTGCACCTATGGCCTCCGGAATCGGAATCTGACCGTGTTCCTTTCCCCCTCTGCCCCGCCAGGAGGAAGAGGAAGAACCGAGGGAAAAGCGTTTCTTTTGCTCTCAAAGTCGGAGGGCCTTGCGCGCGAACCCCTGATCGCTCGAACGCGCTGCCAAATTCGGATCGAATATTCGTGTCGATTATTCGGATTGACGTTGCTCCAATTACGAGATATTCAGCCCGAGCGATCGAAGGTGAACGCGCGAGAGGACGAGGAGGAACGGCTCCTCCGCGTTTCCGGTCTGCCGTCCTCCGCCGCGAGTAAATATCAGTCTTGCCCGGTGACTCTCTTCCGTCTCGTTTCTAAAATGATAAGCCTCGGGCATACGCGCGCAGGGAAAATCGTACTTTTCCATTTGTTCGGTGGCGAAGGAGACTAAAAAAAAAAAAGAACATGGGACCAGCTTACGATCGTAGAAGGAAGTTTCGCGGCGCGAACGTTTTCTCCAACCTTTATTTTTTTTAGCTCGTCTCGTCCGCGGCTCGCGCTTTCGCTCGAGATTTTCGTTCGTTTATCGTTTCTCGATCCCGCAAGATCGACATCCGTTTCATCGATCTTTTCTCTTGTTTGTCAGCTTTTTCCCGCTTCCCGTATCGAAACGAGAATCGTGTTCGCGTCTACTATGTCATGGTTCCTCCGCTTTTCTTTGTGGCTCGAAAAAGATTCGTTCGATCGATTCACCGCGATAATATTCTAGAACGCCGCCGTCGACGGCGGCGATCAACCAACCGATCGATCATCGAAAGTCGCTAGACAACTAATTCCCTAAACTGTAGTCGAAGAGAGAAAATAACGAAGGGAATACAACTAAAAGAGAGAGAGAAAAAAAAATATAGATCAACAGCCCTGCTATTACACTCCTAGTGCTTAGAACTAACGACCTGCACATCCGCTCGTCGTTTTATAATACATCCGTATGTATACGTATATACAATATGTGTCTGTGTGTACAATACACTTCGATATGTGGAAAGTAAGTACACCCATGGAACTGATTCAAAGCGGCGCCCGTGGCCGGGCAAATGAGTCCTGCCGGTAAAATGACGCTTTCCCGACGGCCATAAAGCGGCGGGAATCATTTGATCGACGCGCGCAATAGTCCTACCGTGGTTAAAAAGAGTTCATCGACACCGTTTCCGTCGGAGATCGTGATTTCAAGTTCATTAAATTACAGGTGTAATGTCCGCCGCCACCTCCGTCGCTCGTGCGCTACGATTTTCATTGCGATCAATGTAGACCGCGGATCTTCGTGCCAATTAAAATCGTTTTCTTTATAATCAGAATTGTTCTCTCTGCAGTTTCAGTGTGTTCAAGATAATGTGACGATAGTTCTCGATTATTCCGATGTTCTTACTGTTCTTTTTCATTTCACGTGTTCGCTTTTGTTAAACAGATGCACCGGATCCGCAGTCCAGCGACGAATTTGTTTAGCTATTTATCTTGCAGAAACTGTTCAATCGTTAACACGTTGGCTGTCACGTCACCGGCAAAAATGTTCGGTCGAACACGACAATCAATTTCTCTCTAACATGGTCGCTCAAATAAAGCATTCATTGTTGGTATCTAAAAGACGCGAAACGATTGCAAAGCAATTGCTATAATAAACCTTATCTTTTCTATTTTTATGTTAACCCCTTGCCTTATAATATCGAGTCATGCTCGTGACGAAGATTTCAAACAGTATCGAATACGTATTTTACACAACGGATGACAATTTTTCTCTTCATCTTCTTCTTCTTCTTGAAGATTATGAAAAAAGAAGTGATGATTATTACAAGAGATAAATCGTAGGGCAAGGAGTTAAACCTGACGACCTGATTTTGTGGGACGTTGATGGATAACGATGTGGCAGACGTGTTAACGATTATCACAACCGTACACCTGTATTTGTACACGTGAAACTACGACTCCCTAGTGTTAACGTGCACGGCGTGGATGCAATGAAATTTAGTGGATCGGTGGTTAGAAGGTACCGAAACTAAGAGAGAGAGAGAGAAATAGAAGTGACGGGCGAAGATAAAAGTGTAGGAAAAGGGCGGAACAAAACTCAAAGAGTCCAAAGCTAATTAGGGGAAAATCATGATGACCGTTTCACGGGTCCTACCACTACACGCGTCCTATGTCGCTAAAACGAAGTTTGCGTGTTTCTAATAATAATAATTGTAGTAGTAATAGTATTAATTAATAATAGCGATAATAATATATAGTTCTAGGGGGAAATATCGGTGGTGGGTGGTGGTAATGGTGTTGATGGTAGTGAGAGTATTAGTAAGAGTAGTACTAATAGTAGTAGATAGTAGTAGATAGTAGTAGTAGTTGTTGTAGTAATAGTAGTATAGTAGTAGTAGCAGTAGTAATAGTAGTAGTAGTAGTAGTAGTAGTGGTAGTAGTAGTAGTAATAGTAGTAGTAGTAGTAGTAGTAGTAGTAGTAGTAGTAGTAGTAGTAGTAGTAGTAGTAGTAGTAGTAATAGTAGTAGTAGCAGCATTAGTAATCGTAATATTCTTGTTTTTTTTCCTGTTTGTTTGTTTGTAAAAGTAATAGTAGGGTGTCTACCAAACACCTTCGGTAGAGACCAANCCTGCACATCCGCTCGTCGTTTTATAATACATCCGTATGTATACGTATATACAATATGTGTCTGTGTGTACAATACACTTCGATATGTGGAAAGTAAGTACACCCATGGAACTGATTCAAAGCGGCGCCCGTGGCCGGGCAAATGAGTCCTGCCGGTAAAATGACGCTTTCCCGACGGCCATAAAGCGGCGGGAATCATTTGATCGACGCGCGCAATAGTCCTACCGTGGTTAAAAAGAGTTCATCGACACCGTTTCCGTCGGAGATCGTGATTTCAAGTTCATTAAATTACAGGTGTAATGTCCGCCGCCACCTCCGTCGCTCGTGCGCTACGATTTTCATTGCGATCAATGTAGACCGCGGATCTTCGTGCCAATTAAAATCGTTTTCTTTATAATCAGAATTGTTCTCTCTGCAGTTTCAGTGTGTTCAAGATAATGTGACGATAGTTCTCGATTATTCCGATGTTCTTACTGTTCTTTTTCATTTCACGTGTTCGCTTTTGTTAAACAGATGCACCGGATCCGCAGTCCAGCGACGAATTTGTTTAGCTATTTATCTTGCAGAAACTGTTCAATCGTTAACACGTTGGCTGTCACGTCACCGGCAAAAATGTTCGGTCGAACACGACAATCAATTTCTCTCTAACATGGTCGCTCAAATAAAGCATTCATTGTTGGTATCTAAAAGACGCGAAACGATTGCAAAGCAATTGCTATAATAAACCTTATCTTTTCTATTTTTATGTTAACCCCTTGCCTTATAATATCGAGTCATGCTCGTGACGAAGATTTCAAACAGTATCGAATACGTATTTTACACAACGGATGACAATTTTTCTCTTCATCTTCTTCTTCTTCTTGAAGATTATGAAAAAAGAAGTGATGATTATTACAAGAGATAAATCGTAGGGCAAGGAGTTAAACCTGACGACCTGATTTTGTGGGACGTTGATGGATAACGATGTGGCAGACGTGTTAACGATTATCACAACCGTACACCTGTATTTGTACACGTGAAACTACGACTCCCTAGTGTTAACGTGCACGGCGTGGATGCAATGAAATTTAGTGGATCGGTGGTTAGAAGGTACCGAAACTAAGAGAGAGAGAGAGAAATAGAAGTGACGGGCGAAGATAAAAGTGTAGGAAAAGGGCGGAACAAAACTCAAAGAGTCCAAAGCTAATTAGGGGAAAATCATGATGACCGTTTCACGGGTCCTACCACTACACGCGTCCTATGTCGCTAAAACGAAGTTTGCGTGTTTCTAATAATAATAATTGTAGTAGTAATAGTATTAATTAATAATAGCGATAATAATATATAGTTCTAGGGGGAAATATCGGTGGTGGGTGGTGGTAATGGTGTTGATGGTAGTGAGAGTATTAGTAAGAGTAGTACTAATAGTAGTAGATAGTAGTAGATAGTAGTAGTAGTTGTTGTAGTAATAGTAGTATAGTAGTAGTAGCAGTAGTAATAGTAGTAGTAGTAGTAGTAGTAGTAGTAGTAGTAGTAGTAGTAATAGTAGTAGTAGTAGTAGTAATAGTAGTAGTAGTAGTAGTAGTAGTAGTAGTAGTAGTAGTAGTAGTAGTAGTAGTAGTAGTAGTAATAGTAGTAGTAGTAGTAGTAATAGTAGTAGTAGCAGCATTAGTAATCGTAATATTCTTGTTTTTTTTCCTGTTTGTTTGTTTGTAAAAGTAATAGTAGGGTGTCTACCAAACACCTTCGGTAGAGACCAAATATGTCCGTTATCATCTTTTTTGTAACATTTTTGTTTCCGTATCTTTAGATTTCCGATAAGCTACATCGCTCCGTGACATTGCTTTTCGTATCTCATTAATGTTTTCGTTCGTCTTCTCCTCCTTCTCCTTTCCTATCCTTTCCTTTTAATTAAATCCATTTCCTCGTACTTCGTACATCTCGTTTTTTTTTCCTTTTTTTTGATATCATCAAAATAGTAAACCAATAGTTTAAACGTTGTCGATAATAATTACTATCTATATCACAGATCCAAGTGACTAAACTCCTTTAAAAATATAATATAAATATGTTATGCGTATAATGGTTCGCGCATAATATATATACACACATAGATATATATATTATATATGTATATGTACTCGCAGATGTGTGATTGAAAAACAGGTAAATCAAGAGAGTGCGGAAACTTGGAAAACCTTTTTGTCAGCCTCGCCTGGGTGGAGACGCGTTTATGCAAACACCGATGCGGCCACGACGAGGTGCCGATTGATGGAACACGGACGAAACAAAAAATGAAAAAAAAGAGTGGCGTGTGGTGACCGGGTTTATCGATCCGAACCGATCGCGATCGTTGCAACGTGCACGTCCCTTCGAACGGTGCTACTTAGAATTTCACGGTTTAAAAACGTTTACGCTCGTCGAATCGTACAAGAAGCTTATCCATTAAATGGACCAATGGAATATAATCTGTATACTATATACCGGCGTGCGAATACGTGCGAAAAGACGGCGACCGGTTCACAACCGATCGCCCCTGCTTCGATCTTCCATCTTGTTCGTGTCCTTCCCCTCCTCGTTTTGGAAAAGTCGAAACAAGATATCGGCGCGTAAAAATTCTCCAACGATCGTGGATGTGAGAAGCGATCCGTCGCGGTCCAGAAAGCGGACGCTCTGGTTTAGGCACTTTGTTTAACCAGCACCGTGTTTCTTTTTTAAATGGCACGCGATCGAAGAGGGCCGCGCGCTCGTGGTGGATAGATCGTCAACTGCTGGCATAAACTGGCGTTTCAATCATTGTTGCGTTCAATGTAATCGGGATACGAGATCGGAGAACTCGCGTTCGAGTACTGAGCATATAAATAGAGTGCAGGGTGAAGCCCTGGTGGAGGAATGCCGCGATGCGGTTGATGCGAATGATCCGAATGATGCGAATGATGCGAATGATGATGATGATGATGATCCGTCTCGGATGAATCGATAGGGGATGATGAGATTTGCGGGTAGAGTTGGGAGCCGAGGCTGTCCAGGGAGCTGGACGAGCCTGTAGTTTGGTAGACACTCTGCGATGGTGTGTGCTCGTGAGACTCGGGTGAATTAAGTGTGAATGGCGAAGACGCCGAGGTGGGATATACTACTTGCTGCGGTGGTGACTGGTGTGACTGCGGTAGGGACTCTGACATGCTGACGTCTAAACACTAGTTGGTGGTCTGCGGATGCAGCAGCGGTAGAGGAAGCTGAAGATTGTTCTGTTTCGCCAAACTAGCGATCTCCGCCGCGATGCCGCCTTTGGTGCCGGCCAGGCCGTCCAGCGATGATGGTCCCTCGCTGTACCGTAAATCGCAGACAGGACTTTCGAAGCCTGTCCCCGGTGTGCCACCGCTGGCGCTCTGCGGCGTAGGTGGATTGTGATTGGTATTGCTTTGATTCATATCACGGTGCACACGGTTCTGATGCCGTATCAGATAACTGTCGCGTACAAACGTACGTCCGCATATGTTACACTCGTACGTGGTGCTCGCCGTGTGGGTACGGATGTGGATTGCGAATTGACTCTTGGACGTGAACGTTAGAGAACATCGGTCGCAGACCAGGGGCTTCTCGGCGACGTGGCTCCAACGGTGCGCGGTCACGTAGCTCTTCACAGCGAAACGTTTCTGGCAGATGTCGCAGGCGTACGGTCTCTCACCAGTGTGCACTCGCTTGTGGGTGTTCAGACTGCTCTTCTGCGTAAACCTTTTCAAACACAGCTCACACTGGAACGGTCTCTCCCCTGTGTGCGTCCTCATGTGCACTTCCAGGTACGGCTTGCGGCAGAAACTCGCTTCGCAGACCGTACAATGATATGGTTTGTTGCCCGAGTGAAGTTTCATATGTACATAATACGACGAAGCAGAAGATAGCACCTTGCCGCATACTTTACAGGGTTGCGGTCTGGACCTGGAACCTTCCTTAACCGTCTGCTGGCCTGTCGACTGGCGACTAGGCGTCTCCTGCTGCACGCTCTGACTCTGCTGTTGTTGCTGTTGTTGACTCTGCTGCGCCTGCTGTTGATTCTGCTGCGTTTGCTGTTGTTGAGCCTGCGGGTTCAACTGAAGCGTCGTCTGCTGCTGCGGCTGCAGATGACCCTCCTGCTGAGACAGGTCCTCCCTGTCGTCAGACAAGTTCACCATGGAGTTGGAACCATCCGAGCGGCTCGAAGCAACAGAATAGAAGCCCATGGGCTCGCTTTTAATCTGTTGCTCGAACATGGACGTCATAATGTCAGTCTGCTGCGGCTGAGCCAGCTCTTGGGACTGGGGCTCCTGCTGCTGCACTGCTTCTTGATCAGGGAGCAGAGTCAGGTTGCGCTTGACAAGCTGCTCATATCCTGTGTACCAATCCACCTGCATGACAGGGAACCTCTATCAGTCAGGCGGTCAGAGGACGGGTCATCAGTGACCCGTTCAGGCGCGAATCGTCGCGACCAGACCCGGGCAGCTCCGTAATCCCGGTATCATGCATGTCCGGACGAGTGTGTGCACGCGCGCCAGGTTAGACCAGCGGTTTTGACATTTATCTTTGACAAGTGACAGAAGGTAGCTGGACGATCAGCTGATTGCATAACTTTTACGCGAAGCGCTCAAAGACGGCTTGATCCCGTCGTCGACAGAACGTCGCCCAGCTGCGAGCAACGCGGGCGACTCTATTTTTAAAAGAGCGACGAGAGAAACGGCGGAATATTTCGACTGCGAAACCGGATTCCTCGCGAGCTGTCTCGCTAGTGGGGGTCGGTTTTGCTCTCGGCAAGGATGAAAGCATCGTTTCTACGAACCTTTGCTAATTGTAGTAGTCTGGGCTAGGGTCGAAAAACGTCACGCCTCATCGAGCGCACGCCTCCCGTTCTCGAGCGGCTTCACGGACAATCGCGAAACATTTGTACGGCCAAATTGTTTTTCTCCGACACAAAATATAAGATGGCTGCGACTATATTTCGCGACGGTGCGATATCATATATGTATATACAACGACCTATATGCACTCGCGTACGTACACACGCGACCAAGTACCGACCGACGATATCCCAGCAACTTCTCTAATTGGCTGGCCTTCTTGAGCCGCGAATATTACGTTCTACTACGACCGACATCGCGCTTCGAAAACCGCTGATTGGATCGATTCCTCGCAAAGCTTCATTCACCTGTTTGATTTTATGCATATTTAATGGACAAACTTTCTTAATGCCGAGAAGTCGGCGCTGGCCGCCGGGGAAAACCTGATTTTACCATTGACACCGCGGGACGTTCGCCGAAACGTCATGCGCGTATGCGAAACATTATTTTATTTATACTTGCCGCTTTCTCGGCTTTCAATCGCAACTTTATAAACACGAAATAATTCCATGATTCGTGAACGATAATAATGTACATCTGCAGTGAATGACACCGTCTCGGCGTAGTCGAAAAATGAAATCGTTGGTAAACGTACTCGTGTATGAATTTTTAGAAATAAATGGTACGATATGGATGAATATCAAAATGTTGTAAGTATTAATTCACAATACCATTTGTACGTAGTGTCACTCTTGCAATTTCACCGCTGCGCCATTGACTGTAGCTCGCAGTATCTGTTCTAAGTGCACGTGGTTTTAATTGTGATTTCAAACCTCTGTTAAATTGTGCGCAGTATGTATTTTCTCCCCGCATTACAATTACTGAACGCACCTTGAGTGACGACACGCTAGGAACACTCAGGCCCTATCAACCTATCAAATTATATCAAACTGGAACACTTTGAAATAATGTTCCTAACAGAAACAGGCGGCCAACTCGAGAACTTGCGTGTCTGACGATTACGGTGACGGGTCGACGAAAGGAAGCTGGTTCCATTTACAAACACGATCGCCCGCTAAATAACATTCAAGATTCATTGAAAGAGGAGCTAATTTACTACACGATCCGAGTATTATTCAGTTTTTTCTTAGCCGGACTCGGTATTGCAAACAGGTATGCTAGGAACGTAATTTCGAAGTTTAAACAATTTCAATGAACAAATTCTTGAAATAAACTTTGGACATCATAAAATGATTTAGATCGTGAAATATATTGCGATCTATCAGTATCTCTTTGAAATTCTAACCAAATTATGAAATGAAAATTACATAAAATGTGTTTGTTACACAGTTATTACATTTACTATGGTTTTAGTTTCAACAATGGCTGTACCATCAGAGGATGTTATGAATCCAAGCCTAAATGATCCTGTAACCAAAGCAGTGGTGGATAATATAATGGGTAATTTACCCACAAAGAAACCTTTCGTTCGGTGTGACGATTGCGATCTATCATTTACAAGTCAAACAGTGTTAGATACACACTTACAAGGTGCCAGACATGCTAAACAGGTATGTAGAAATGGTACTATGAATAGTAAGCAAAAGACTATTGAACCTTAAGATAGAATGTAAAGTTATGAATGGTAAACAAAAGATTATCCAATTCAAATATAAGAGAAGGATGAGATCAGAGAAAACAAAACTTTCTTGCAACTAGATTCGTTACCATTTTTTCTTTTATAGATCAGATCAAAGAATATAATGGCAACCCTTGAAGAAACAAAAGTGGCATTCTCAAAAGATGAGGAAACAAATGGACTAAAATGTAATGTGTGCAACGTATGCCTAAACTCTATACAACAACTACAAACGCATTTGAATGGTATCCAAATACATCAAGGTCTGTTTTATATTGTCATGTATACAAAAAATTGAAGAACCATTTTAATTTCTAGGGAGCCGACATAAAAAGAAAGCAATGAGAGGTAATAAAGCCTACTTACTACGGAAATCTTTATATGGGATTAGATATAGTCGCACGACGTGCATTGATAAGATAATTGAAAAGAATGTGGTTGTGCTTATCTATTGCTTAATTTTGTTTACATTTGCATGCTTGTTACTGCTACTCACTTTTGCTTTTCGTTTATTTTTATAAATTAATGCAAAGCTAACTAATTAATTTCTACATAGCTTTAACTTATACAATTGCTGCTGAGATGCTTAGTGATGTTTTCGCGCAGTCGTTTAATTTGTGAATCATTATTTATTTATTACTATTTATTATTATTTATTGTATGTTATTTATTTTTGTCAGACTAAAAGTGTATATTTATTATTCATGCCTTTGTGAACATATCGTGTCTGAAAGCAACTCGACCGTGAGTTATTTAGTTATTGTTATGATTAATAAAGTTGTTCACAAAATAATCGCATATGTCATCTATTCTGTTGTAATCCTTTTGCAAATGCATAAATTTCATACGCACCTTCTATCTTATTACTCGACTAACTCTTCATAGATGCATTTTTAATTTATTACTCCTTGGTCTTAATAAATAAAAATTTCATCAGGGTTTTCTTAAAATTTTATTGATATATAGAGGGACTTATAATAAAAGAAACGTTGAACACAAATTCTTGCATATGAAATACATTACAAGACAAAGACTGTGAATGCATACGTGTGGAAAAACATTTTAATAATGTCTTTTGTTGGAACAATTTCTATTAATGGTTGCTTTTTCCATAGCATGAATGTAGTGTTCAAGCTGATTTATTATCACACTTGACCGCTACAGCGGTTGTGATACATAGATAGTGTTGATCGCACATTGATGCTTAGGTGAGTGGAGTGGCAAAGAAGTTGGAAGTCCAGTGACATCACCTCCCATGAATACCCAGGACAGCTCTGCATCGAAAGACGTGTCGCTTTCGTGCAACATGTGCAACAAGATTTTTAATTCCCCAGCACAATACAACGTGGTACGTAAAATCAGAGTAAAGGTTACTATTTGATGACTGTATGATAATGCAATTTAATTTTATATTACAGCACATAACATCAAAGAAGCACACTAGTAAGTTAAAGCAAGCTAAAATTTTAAAAAAGAAAAGGTTCTTTCCATATTGGAAAAAGCCTAAACCTGGTGCAAATCCCAAAAATCTTGTTCAATCGTTGTCAAATAATTTTGTACCAGGAGGTTTTACGAATCAAACATAGATAAAAATATATTAGAACCGATGCATCTATTTTAATACATACACAAATTTTTTACTTATGTTCTTTCAAGAGAAGAAACAATTTTAGGATTATTTCATAACTAATGTCAGTTTGATAATTATTTTAATTTTATATTGTTCATTATTTTCTTTTGCCATAATTTTAAATATAATAAATTTTATATTTACTTTTGCAAAATATTTCTCAACACTTTCTTATATGATGTATTCAGTGCAAATATTTTGATCACCTTGATTTTTTACAAGTATATTTAATAAATAACAAAATGTTTAGCAAGCGACTATATAATGTTTGCGTTACGTATTAGTGAAATATGTTCAAAGTATTCATAATATCCTTATTAGTAGTCGAAGTAATGCAAAAAAATACTGATACATTGTATGAATGTATATATGTCCATTAAAAAATCACATAAAATAATGTTGCCAGCATTACTTCTCACCAAATGATTTCAAG